GTTTGGGGGGGTTTGAAGGGGGGCGGAGTCCCCCTCATCGCCAAGAAAATTTTGGACTTGTGAGAGGCTGTAAATGACCCGAGATTGATCATAAGGTAACGTGTAACCAACGCTGAAAAGCATTTGACTCTATCTCAATCCATTGAGAAGTTGCAGCACTTTGAAATCAATTTTGATGGAAAAAATCAACGCAAAATAGTGATTTTTGGCAATTTTGAGATGTCCCCTCGTTGCCATGGTAACAGAAAATTTAAGCCTGAGCATGTTGTTGCAAGGACAATGGTCCAGTCAACATTTGTGCCAAGTTTGATTAGTGTTGAAGCAGTTTTTATAGTATTATAGCAATTTGAACTTGTAACGGGAGACTTTTCAATGAAAACAGCCATTTTTCACAAAATGCTCATGAAGTAATGGGTTAATGAAAAAAATCAAAAAATCTACAAAACAACAATTTTTCTTCAAATTTATATGACAGGCCATGTTTAAACATGAAAAAACGCGATTTAGGGTAATTTCAAGTATTTTCATCATTTTCTGTTAACCCATTACTTCATATACACGCCTTTTAACGCCTTTTTCACCCCCCCCTTTTTGTTGTCTCAAATGATGAAAAAATGCCTTATTTAGGCCCCAAACACTTGTTTTTGTTTGAGAAATGTTGTTAAAAAAGTGACCTCTTTTTCGGCGCGGCCCCCCAACCAAAAGATACATCAGGGGGTTGCCAGAAGGGGGATGTGCCCCCTTCTGTTTGGGGGGTTTGAAGGGGGGCGGAGTCCCCCTCATCGCCAAGAAAATTTTGGACTTGTGAGAGGCTGTAAATGACCCCAGATTGATCATAAGGTAACGTGTAACCAACGCTGAAAAGCATTTGACTCTATCTCAATCCATTGAGAAGTTGCAGCACTTTGAAATCAATTTTGATGGAAAAAAATCAACGCAAAATAGTGATTTTTGGCAATTTTGAGATGTCCCCTCGTTGCCATGGTAACAGAAAATTTAAGCCTGAGCATGTTGTTGCAAGGGCAATGGTCCAGTCAACATTTGTGCCAAGTTTGATCAGTGTTGAAGCAGTTTTTATAGTATTATAGCAATTTGAACTTGTAACGGGAGACTTTTCAATGAAAACAGCCATTTTTCACAAAATGCTCATGAAGCAATGGGTTAATGAAAAAAATAAAAAAATCTACAAAACAACAATTTTTCTTCAAATTTATATGACAGGCCATGTTTAAACATGAAAAAACGCGATTTAGGGTAATTTCAAGTATTTTCATCATTTTCTGTTAACCCATTACTTCATATACACGCCTTTTAACGCCTTTTTCACCCCCCCCCCTTTTTGTTGTCTCAAATGATGAAAAAATGCCTTATTTAGGCCCCAAACACTTGTTTTTGTTTGAGAAATGTTGTTAAAAAAAGTGACCCTTTTTTCGGCGCGGCCCCCCAACCAAAAGATAGATCAGGGGGTTGCCAGAAGGGGCATGTGCCCCCTTCTGTTTGGGGGGGTTTGAAGGGGGGCGGAGTCCCCCTCATCGCCAAGAAAATTTTGGACTTGTGAGAGGCTGTAAATGACCCGAGATTGATCATAAGGTAACGTGTAACCAACGCTGAAAAGCATTTGACTCTATCTCAATCCATTGAGAAGTTGCAGCACTTTGAAATCAATTTTGATGGAAAAAATCAACGCAAAATAGTGATTTTTGGCAATTTTGAGATGTCCCCTCGTTGCCATGGTAACAGAAAATTTAAGCCTGAGCATGTTGTTGCAAGGACAATGGTCCAGTCAACATTTGTGCCAAGTTTGATTAGTGTTGAAGCAGTTTTTATAGTATTATAGCAATTTGAACTTGTAACGGGAGACTTTTCAATGAAAACAGCCATTTTTCACAAAATGCTCATGAAGCAATGGGTTAACTTCAAAAAGGAAAAAAAAATCAAAAGACAAAAACACGCTTCGCCGACTCGGCAAACTTTCGGATAGCCCGGGGTTCTATGATATCAAGGTACTTATCGTTTATCGGAAAATATTTAAATATGAATATCATAAATGAATGAGATTTTTCTTCCATCTTATAATTGAACCTTTTCCAGAACTGTTTGTCAAAAAATAATTTCAAAAGAACCAATAAAAATGACATTTTTTAAAATATTTTCAATGTCTGCCATTTTGGGTAATTTCAGAGGAGGTTACTACGGTATCAAGGTAATCCCCAAAAAGCAAGTATGGAAGGATAGATTGGTCAAAACTTTCAAGTAAAGTTGTGAAAAACTTCCAACAGTTAACTTGCTATAAAATTAAAACTATATGAACAGACTATATGTCAGTATATGTATTTAAAACATATTTTAATTGACTGTGTAAAAACCATTAAGGAAAATGGTAGTAAAATATGAAGGTTTTATAAAATAGTTTTTTTTGCCACAAATATATTCATTATTCACCAAATTAAATTTATTGGCAGATGAAAATGAATCTAGTGTGCAAGTTTTACAAATATCAGCATCATCATGTGTTGCTTTTACTAGTAGTTTCAGAAAATTTAAATACCTTGATATCATAGAACCCTTGATATCATAGGAACCGAGTATACATTCAAACTTACCGATGCACACAATAATTAATAAATCATTTTATCTAATTAAAGTAAAAACAGATACCTACCACAGTTTATGTCAATTAACTATCCATTATCCGTACAAAACAAACAATTAATCCAATCACTTTGTTTTCACGCTTATCAAGGTCATAAATCAACACTCGCTAATTCTTCACGCGCCAGGTGCATTCGCATAATTTCACCCATCGATGTCATGTCAACCATTCAATTCAGGAGGCGGAGTTAAATAAATAATCCAATCGTACGCCAGGAAAGTGAGAAAAGGTCGGAAAATGGTCGTGGCGTACGTCGCGGCTTACGATTTTCGCCGTATTCCTAAATTTTTGGAAGTCAGCGGTACGTCATTGATCTTAATTTTCGGCGTACATATACGATTTTCGGGCGTAATTTACGGCCGTACGCCCGTTAACGGAAGCCCTGTACAAGTCATAGATATAATAACATCTTTTTTATAAAAACAAAAAATATACAATTTGATGTATGTATTACCGTTTTATAATTACATTTATGCCTTTTTTTTTAAAAAAAGTCATCAATATTGTTTGTTTTTGATTTTTAGTAGAAATTTGTGTACAAATGTGTTTTACGCTCATAATACTGTAAACAGGTCATTTTGACCATGATACAAAGCATATTGTCTTATATTTTTAATATGTTCATACACATCTCCTGCTGAACATACTTTAGAATCATCAGCCAGAGCTCCAGATAATTATTTATGCAATGAGTTTTAATAAACTTCTTGATTTTTTCAACAATTTGTTTTCACACTACCCCGATTTCAAATTCAATAAGATTTTTAGAGATCTAGGATGTGTTTGCCTTTTTTGTCGAAGGGTCATATTAAATGGGATACTACATGTATTTTGTAAAGCATCAGATGAGCACCTACACCATCAGCAATGAAAGGCTCTGCTCTGTAATGTTTAGTCTACTAGGTTTCACGATTTTATTTCGACTACAATCGGTGACATTTGCTATTTACTCAGTCTCAATTCCATGCACGATTTCCTCATACAATTTATCCGGTCTTATTAGTTGTCTGTCTTTTTTTCGCTCGATCCGACATCATTTTCGATAAGGGAGGTCACTCTCAGCACATGACAAAACTATGCAAACGCGGTGTTGTGATACGTTATTGCTCTGACAAAATATGTCACAATAAATATTACGATCGGAAAATCCGATTTTGAAACGATTGCAATTGTTATTCATTTCGTTTTTAAACGACAATTATTTGTGACCAATGACCATGAAAATTATTTGTTTGTTTGCTTGTACACATCTAACCTACTCGCTAATTACACAGGTGAGAATGCCCGCAGGGACGATTGTTTGTCACGGCCGTTTAATAGATACTTTAACACTTAATTTTGTACATTTGGGCCGACATTCAGTGGCCGCTGGCCGCGATATAAAATAGTCGTTTAATGGAATTAAATTAAATAGTAACAAGAGCTGTCCGTAAGACAGCGCGCTCGACTTTTTTATTGCTTGCCAATAAAAAAAGTTTTTGCAGTAAAAGGCAATACAAGAATCTCTGTATTTTTAAAGTGAACTAGTTGTTTGATACCCTTGAATATTACAGCAATGTTTATATAACATAATTTATGGTAAAGTGAACAAGTGGATAGGAATGATTTTTTTTAGATTTTTTAAGTTTTTTAGTGCTTGCCTATAATACAAAACATTGACAGTTAAGGGCCATAATTCAAATAAAATCTTTGACAGAATTACCTTCTCCTGGACATGTTTGGGAATCATGATTGTAAACAAGTATTCCAACTTTCAAATTAATATCTCAAACAGTTCAGTCAAAAAGTGGACTGGTACTAAAAACTTAACCAAGATTCTAAGTCGATAAAAGGCCTTAATTTTTAAAACAAATCCTTGACAGAGTTACCTTCTCTTGCGTACAGATGGGGGTAATGATGTGAAATAGCATTAAAAGTTTCAAAGCAATATCTCAAAGGGTTAAGGCAATAAGTGGATTTTACCCATATTCAATGTATTTTCTAAGTCAAAAAGGGGCATAATTCTGTCAAAAACCTTGACAGAGTTATGTCCTCTTGTCTGTTGATGAAGGTCGTGATGGTAAACAAGTATGGTCAGTTTCAAAGCAATACCTCCAATGGTTTTGAAATAAAGTGAGGTGGTACAAAAAACTTAACCAAGCTCAATACACTTTCTAAGTCAAAAAAGGGCCATAATTCTGTCAAAAACCTTGACAGAGTTATGTACTCTTGTCTGTAGATGGAGGTTATGATGGTGAACAAGTATGGTAAGTTTCAAAGCCATACTTGTAATACTTCTGAAATAAAGTGGGGTGGTACGAAAAACTTAACCAAGGTGTGACGCCAACGCCGACGCCGGGGCGAGTAGGATAGCTCCCCTTTTCATAGAAAAGTCGAGCTAAAAATCATCGGGAGGGATTTTATGCGGCCGCTTAATAAAAAAGTCGCTTAATAAAGGTTGCCGCAAGTACGATGCCGACTGTATTTAAAAACAGATTACTGTTCACTGTTATCAATTGCTAATGTAGAATAATGAAAGTTTGGGTCATAAGTTGGCCAAATTTCAATGTCAAATAAAAGATACACAACTTTGTCAAATTCTACTTTGTCTAACTTTAACTACAATTACTTGCAAATAAAGATGCTGGTGTTTAAACATCTAATAAAAGTTTACAACAATACATTTACTGTTTCAGGGAATAATCAAGGTGGTAAAAAAACCATGGCTAAAACAACAGTGTAATATAGTCTATATGCTGTTGAACTCACCAACAACCTTCGCAGTAATCCCATCGCTGTTGGGTGACCTGTTACCCATAATCCCACTAGATGGCGACTTAGCTGTCTGAAATTATCAAATATTAAAAATTTCATGGTATTTTCCCAAATTGTTTAGAATTCATCCCAATACTGTTAACATATTATGTAATACAAGAGCTATCCATATACAAAGACAGTACACTAACTATTCTCAGTGCTTGACAGCAAGAAAATGGGCACAACTCTTTATTAAAATAAACTCAGAGTTATGAGACCTGTGGCAATCATATTAGATAATCAGAGAGACCAAGTGTGTGAAATTTCAACCCATTCCCTTCAGAAGTTATCAGGTACAACCTTGCATACAAAAACTTAACCAAAGTGTGACAGTGCCTACATGTGCACAGTGCTCTCCCTATTCTTCAAATAGTCAAGTCAAAAAATACCCCAGCATACATACATTTATACAATTTTTTTCTTTTAACAATATGTCATGTTTTGCACATTTTGGTTGCTTTTTTCTTCTTTTTCTTCTCCATTTTGTTAATGTGTGAATTTAATTCAGCTTTAAGTAAATTTTGCTCCTAATTTTTAACATAAACAATTGGAAACACTTACGGACAAATAATATTTCATCTTCAACAAATTTTTAACACAAAACTATATGTTGTTTTTTGCAGGCCTCAAAACTTTTTAGATTTCAACTCTGAAGACCTAACCCTGTACATATTGAGCAAAGCAGGGCAACTTTCTATTTTACATATACAGCCAAACCTGTGATCAAAGGTCATCAAAGACACAGAGACCAAACATGCCCTTTACAGACAAGTGGTCTTTATTTGTTGTTTTCTGTGTTCTATTTAATCAATGAAAGGTTGTCAAAGTGTGGCCTTCATTTACAGGGTGATCTGTATTTGGAGGTATTTGAACACAGGTTTGATAGAACATGTATATCTAGATTCTTACTAATTACCAACGTTTTGAAACATTGATCTTCAATATAATTTAAAATACTGAGACTGGTATAAAATGTTAACCTATTTGTGAGCATTCTGTTGTCAGATGATTGAGTAAACATAGCAGTATGTAAATGTTTAGGCAGGGCTCCCTCGGCTAAAGCTAGGTCCTGCATCTTAGCTGCTATTTCTGCATCACCTTCCTGGAATCAATAGAGGATATTGAATGAGTGAAAGTTCAATACTGAATTTATTGCACGAGTTGAATAAAATTATATTATGCGAGCCTCTGGCGAGCATAATATTATTTTATTCAACGAGTGCAATAAATTCAGTAATGAACTTACACGAATTTATTATTCTATTTATCACATACCCAAAATAAAGACCGTTTAAAGTGAAACAAGAGCCATGTCAACATGGCCATCCCCCGCCGAATGTGTTTGCTCATTGGAAGAATGTATATGTAGTAGAGCGGAATAATTCCATTTTAAGAGGTCTTTTGGTAATGAAAACTGATGGCTATAGTGATTACAGCTTTGAAACCTATGTGAATACTGATAGCTGAAAATAACAAAGGGCAATTACTGTAAAATAATGCAGGATAGGTTATCATTCTTGTGTGCTGCATCCCTCCTCAGTAAAATCTATCCACCTATGAAGTTTCAAGTTGATACCTCTAAATACTTTTTGAGAAAAAAATTAAATTGAAAAATTAAAGGAACTCCACTGAGGTTAATAAGACTAAAAGCATAAAATTTTAATTTTTCACATAGATCAACACGAGCTATTAAAACAGAAATATAGATAAAATATAACTACGAAACATACAAGGAAATACATTGAAAATCGTATGTTTGTGCTATTCTCTGTCTGATTCGAGTGAAAAGCGTTTAAACGCTTTTCAATTTTAGGTCATTTTTCACTATTATAATTATTATTTTGGAAAAACGGAACGAGCTAATGATCTGGAAATTTTGAACATAAGTTATTAGTATAGACCTACATCAAATAGAGTAATAATCTCAAAAAAATATTTCCAGTCCCGTCATGTCAAAAAACCTCAGTGGAGTCCCTTTAAGTATGAAAAAGAACAAAGGGCAATATTTCAAAAATTATGCAAGGTAGAGTTATCATTCTTGTGCAGTAACC